GTAATTAAGCATTTTAATGATTTGGCCGATTAATCGAAAAAATAATCAACAGATTAATCGACTATTAAAATAATCGTTAGTTGCAGCCCTACATATGATGATGATATGGATGAATATTTTTGTTTTTTCTCCGTGTAATTGAATCATTAATGATTTCATTGATATGGATCAATCAGTGTTTCCCCTACCATTATACAGGCATATCATAAATTAAAAAAAATTTGTACGTCATGGAAAAACTCTTGATACAAGCAAAAAGTCAGTTGTTTAAGAAATTGTCTGCTTATCAAATAACAGTTAGTAAATTAATAAGACCAGACAACTTTAGATTAATTCATTAATCAATAACTTGTATCTCTAATACATACCTTTGCTTTCAGCTCATCGTTGAAATGGGGGTCATTAAACTCAACAAAGCGGAAGAAAAGAGCACGTTTCTGAGGAATCGAGTAGTTCCTGGGAATTTCCTCCTCCATGTACTCCTTCAGGAAGGTCATGTTGCAAAGGAAGCGACCGGTAAAAGCTCGCACCAACTGGAACAGCAGCTCRATCTCTGAATAGTTACGTCTGTGGAGAAAACACAAGGTCCATTACCTAAGTGCACTGACAGAAAAAGATGAATCTAAAGTCTGTTGCAGTGACAAAGTGCAGCAAAACTTTAGAACAATCTTGTACAAAAGTACCACAGGTACATTAGTGAGCAACCATTTGGGACGTAATTATTAAGTCTGGAATCAAAATCTGCTAAGTTTTGAATGCACCAAAAGTTTTCTGAAAACTAAGAAACAACATCATGTGTGGTTGGAAAATCATTTTATTGAAGTAATAAACTGCACAAATAGGATAATTTAGACCCTTACWAGTTCCCAACACAAATATATCTGTCTAATGTCTTATTTCAGACTGCTTGACACTGTCCCCACCTTTTAGGCAGCTCTTTCTAAATCAAATGAGAATTTGAACTGGTTTACATACTTGCAGTAGCTTAGTAAGCAGTAGGCCAGCAGCTTGGGCTCCTTCCAGTTGGTAGCAGCCATGTTGTCCTTGCGATGTCTTTCTTGGAAGGCCTCACTCACCCACACTCGTCTTAGTTGGCTGACCAGRGAATGTTGCCCTGCTAACCACCCCTCATCATTCTTAACAATGATGCTAATGATCTGTTCAGGCAGGAAAAGGAAAAGAAATGGTAGGTTAGAAGAGGTTAAACWACAGACAAAAATGTAATAAAATGTGGACTAAAGGCAGCTTTTGTATTAGCTAGGATAGTACTAGCATAAAGATACCAATAGAAAAATAAAAACATTTAGCTTTAGACATTCTTAAGGCTATTTTACATACCTTGATGGCTTGAAACTGCAGGTCCAGTCTAGCTGTGGTGGTTGAGGGAGACCCGGGTCGAACTGTTGCTGCAGTACCAGCAGGAACAAGCAGGGGGACGAAGCGGTTCGGATTAGAAGCCARCACATCTCGGAGTGGCTTAGCATCCTTGTGCTTCAGAAAACTCTGCACACAAATATATACATCTCCTTTAAAAGCTAGACAAATAACGTCTAGAATAAAACTAAAGGGGGTGGAGAGATATTGAATTTAATAGACGTGATCCATCTTAATTTAGGGTTTGCTGAACAGCTGAGCCTTAAAGCATAAAATAAATCCCTCAGGCCATTTACAGCAGCTGATATGAAGCAAAATGCTTTTTCTAAAGTCATAAAAGTCAATGAAAAGAGCTGCGACTGTCTGACCATGAACATTCGGCTCCACTGGGGGTCGTTGAGTGTAGCCTCCATCATGAACAACTCAACCGTCTGAGATGGGTGGCGTGTCAAAAACTTGATCAAAGGCTCCCTGAATGGACTGCCGGCCTAGGGCAGGAACAAGGGGATGAGAAATGGGCAGAAAATTATACGATACAGAAGCAAACAAATACAAGCTTAAATTTGTGAAATTGTTCAATGCTTTTGGTGATAATGCTCACTTATTAAAAACTAGCTGATTCTTGATAAGTTCTAAAATAATTTTCTATTAAGCAAAAATAATGCCAATTATTTGAATTACATCCAAATAATTCTAATTTAAACAGCTGGTATATTTTCCTAAACACCAACACACTTGAATAGAACAGGTCTAAGGTTTGATGCAGACTAAACATACCACAATAAAAGCCTAGATTTGCTCTATGACCTTCAGACTACAATTAGGTCCTACCTCAATGAGCATTGCCCTTTCTGTCTTCATGACCACTTCAAGCAGAGGTTTGACCAGAGTCTGAGGTGCAGCTGGGATCAGGTGGAACAGGTTAATGATGGCAGAGCAAATCTTCATTTCCTACAAAGAGATTCAGAGAAAGACAACAGAGGAGAACAAAGGAGAGGATGAAATTCTTGAGACGGCTGATGCAGACACCGAAACATGTTCTGACAGACAGCCACTGTGGAAAGACGAGGACGACTCTTAGCCAGAAGACAGGAAGATCGGTAATTAATAGGTAGGTAACTCCAAACGGTTGCAAGTACCACCCAATACAGACCAGCAAGCATTGGCGATTTGGATAAACCAGCTTTGAAATGCAAACGTGAGCAGAATTACAGGAGAGATAAGACAGTTTTAAATGTGAAGATAACCTACGATGACGAACCTAAACAAGATCACAGACASATGGACATAAAAATACAGGGGACGTCTACCACCAGCACAACATTAGTTCATTTCACCAACACAACATAGGTTCAAGGTTTCAATCACTAACAGATAAAAAAAGATCACTAACAGAGGACGCAACACCGGGTCACATCTCACCTCAACACCCTCCAACGCAGGCTGTACCAAATGGGAGACAATGGTCAGAGTCAGCAGAGGAAAGTGTGCGTGCGTGCGTGCGTGTGTTTTGTCTGCCTTTGTCCCCATAAGGAAGGGAAGCAGATAAGACAGGATGATTATGAAGGGACAAAGAGAAGCAACAGAAGTGACCGCAGGGTAACGTTTCTCATCACTGTGTCAATAAAAAGGCAGGAGTCATTTTGAAATCGTAGCCTGATTAACACAGAATTTATATCATTACAGAAAAGAACGCTTGCCTGACTCACACTAAGACTACAAAAAGTTACTTTTATTTTTTACATTAGGATTCAACTTTTACTTCAAATAAATAAAAAAAGAGCTCCCATATCTTTCATACAAACTGATCTCCTCCTTCCTGTCAGAGCCCTTTAACGTCTACATAGACCATCTTAACCTCCAGCCGGCACMATCGTTCCTTCCCTAGTTTTTGTCTTTATCAGGCTAAGCTAATTGACTTCCTGACCCTGGCTCTACTGTCCCTGCCAGCCCCGCTGTCATCACGCACAAAGAACACAATTTGGAGGGCAGGGGAAGACAAAAGGCCAATTTGCATCTAATTAAACACATCATTTTGAATCGAGTCAGGATGAACTCGGATAAAGAGACACGGCCAGGGAAAGTGTCTATGAGGAAGCAGCAGCTGTATTTTCTCCTCCCCGTCACCTTTTCTTTAGCTTTACAAGGTTATCTGTCGGGGAGATATTGAGGAGGTGCAGTGCTGGGCCCACCACCGCCTGCCTGGCGCCTAATTAATCATTGATTGAAATATGGGCCCTCACAACTCATCTCAGAGGAGGCCACACAGAGGCTGTTGACTACAAGCGACCATGGCATTGTGAGTACAAGGAACAATCTCCCTTCTCTTTCAGTGGGTGTAATTTAGTTTAAGCACAACAGATTAGCTGAACAAAAGCTGTGCCAGCTGACAGCCATATTGACCTGTACCTTCTGGTTATGAATGATTCTGTATTGTAACGAAGAACTAAAGTGATGCAGAAACAAAAACTCGAAGACACGTCTACATTGTGCGCGGAACTTCAAACTGTGCGAGGAGCATGTGGGCTGCGTGTTTACTTACACTGCCGTCGCTGCGCTGGCCTCCTTTGTGAGTTATGACAACTACTTCCATCCATTTCCGCAGGTGTTGCTGAGTAGAACAAAATCAAAAGGAAAACAAGAATAGAGACTTTATGTCTCAGCAGGTCAAATTTGCAACCAAAAGAAAATAATAATATTTTTGAGAAATAAACAACTTAATTAACACCTAATAGTGCAAAGATCTTTTTGTAACTATTATAAAGCAAAAAAGTGCAAAAACTAAGGTTGCTGCAAATAGTCTGCATAATTACTCTACACTGTACTGTAAATATTCTGCCCTTTACGATATTTATTACACATGCACATTATGCACATTGCTGGAAATGGCTTAGTTTGACACAATTGTACATCCCCTTGGATCATGAGTCTGTCATGACTATTTTCTTTGTAATTTTTCTGCACAGTATCTTATTTTTATCTTTATGGCCTTATACAGTGGTTTTTATTTTTTATTATTTTTATTCTAATATTATTACTACTATTGCTATTGTTGCTATTGTTACATAGCAATATATTGTTTTGTGAATTGATGTATCTGCTGCTGCTGTTACATATCCTGAATTTTCCCTCTGCAGGTTGTTTCTATTCTATTCTAATTGAGAATAAGTTTTTGTCTTCACTGTGCACCATTTTCATTCATGGCATAATTTGCTTTTTTGTTTTTATTTTTTATTTTACTTCATATACATTGTTTTGTTTTATGAATGAAATAAATTGAATAAAAGAAAATGTTTTTTTTTTCCATGTTTTTAGTTGACAATTGTTGTGAGTTTATTTTTTAATTTCTTAAGTGGACAATAAAACGGGGGTTTGTAAACTTTGCAGTTTCCTTGGTTTAACCACAGCTTGACAACAAGAGCTACGTACACAGGAGCTCTGATGAGTTGAAAGAAAAAAACAAAAACAATGAAAATTTTATAAGCTGCTATATGCAATCAGTGAAGCTGGACAGGTCGTCTGATTTTCTACATTTGGTAGCAAATATATGTTTGAGGAAACCTTTGGACTAGAACCTTGGCTCACGATCCATTTTATATCACTGTTAATCAGTGTTGTGATGAGATTTGTGTCTCATCAAGATCTGATTCATCTACCAGCTTTGTTCCAATTCCCTTTTAACAGTTTTTGTTTTAATAGTAATTTAAACATAGAAAAAAATGTAATGAGTTGTCTAAAACATTATAGTGTGATAGGGCCTTTAGACTAGAGTTGCACCAATAAATCATCCGGCCCATTTATCGGCACAGATTTCCTTAATCTTGGGAGACAGATCGGCCGATACTTGATAAATATATGCTTCTCATCTACCTTCATAAAGATCTGAAAATCAGTCATCGCTCCTATTTGCTCTGCTGTGAGCTCTACCTAATGTTGAGCTAAAACAAGTTTTTACTGTTTTGAGGATTTGTTCAAAGTTTTTCAATAAAATAAGATTAAACACCTGACAGTGTCAGGTATTTAAAAAAAATCTGAATCAGCCAAAAAGCAGAATTGGCAGGTCAGATTTTTTCAAGATCGGTGATCGGCTAGAAAACTGCCATCGGTGCACCCCTACTTTAGACTAATACAAAATTTAGTGGACAGAGTAATCAAAATAAAAACAGTCGTTAGTGGCAGCCCTAATGAGCACTGATATGCCACACTCTTCATAGAGCACATGACGACTCCAGCCCTGTTGGTTTTGTTTCTACAGAAGTATTAGCCTGTGACAGCTACCTATAGGAACTGCATGTTGTAGCAACTCAGAAGACCAAACACTGGTTTGATGCTTGGGTTCCCACATCCAAGTTCAAACACAAAGCTGTTACATATCAAAGGAAAAAAAAAGAGAGAGAGAGAGAGAGA